ATTGATTTCCAAAGCGCTATCTTTAGCGGAAAACAAAAAAGTCTCTGTGCCATGAAAAAATGGCAAACATTTAGCTTGTGTTGGAAAAAAAGCGACCAAAAAAAATCAAAAGCCTCGCTTTCGTACACTTTGTTTGAATCATACACTTGTTAGGAAAAGTTCTCCATATTTTCTATATAAATTTCCCTCAATTTGGGCGGCATAAACTTCATACTGACTGAAAGAAGACTTCTCCCAAAAGCATCGCTTAGAGGCATCAGTGGCATTAATTGCTCGAGTGCGACCAAACAGATAACGAATTGGTAAAAACTAATCTTTACATTTTCGTTGCAAAACAATGAACGTTTAAATTAAATATTATGAGCTACAGTGCTGATTAAATTAACCGGACAAAACGAGCTAAACTTGAAACTTAAAACGCGTTTTTCTCAAATTGGATTGAGTTTAGGTGAAAACTTATGAAGACAAAACTTGCTTAAAGTTTTAGCAGAATTAATATGGTGTTGTAATTAGTTTTGCGAAATTCGGGCCCGAAATTTTACCCCAAAAATGGGTCATTTTGGCTTTTCTTAGTTAATCAAAAATTACGCCGAAAATACCCAGTCGATCATCGACATAATTATATCAAAGTGAGCCCCTTACGTAGCCCAACAAACTTTATGAAGGGTATAATCTCCAAAAAAAATTGTTTAAAAATTGTTTTTAAATAAGAAGTTGGTATTTTATATAGTAAAAATGACCTTTTTTTGTCTATCAAACAAAAATAAAGTAACTTATACAATATTTTGGAGATTATACCCTTCATAAAGTTTGCTGGGCTACGTAAGGGGCTCACTTTGATATAAGTATGTCTGTGATCGACTGGGTAGTTTCGGCGTAATTTTTGATTAACTAAGAAAAGCCAAAATGACCCATTTTTGAGGTAAAAGTTTGGGCCCGAATTTCGCAAAATAAATTGCACCATATTAATTCTGCTAAAAATTTAAGCAAGTTTTGTCTTCATAAACTTTCACCTAAACTCAACCCAATTTGAGAAAAACGGGTTTTAAACTTCAAGTTTAACGCGTTTTGTCCGGTGAATTTAAATCAGCACTGTATTCTCAAGCGCGATGAACCGAATGCGCAAAACTCTCAACCAATCAATGCCCTTTAAACTGTCCAAAACAGACTGATTTTATAGCTTATTTGCATAGAAATTAAGACTCATGAATTCTGATTGGCTGACAAAATTTTCGCACTTTCGAGTGTTATAACTTTTTATTTACCTTTTACATTCAAGTTTTTGTGGGATAAAATACGCCTTTTTCCTTTTCCTCAGTGAATAAACAAAAGGCAAAGGGCAGACTCGAGCCAGTGAATTATGGTATTTGAGTCAAACGTATAAATCATTATAGTACAGAACCAGTGGCGTGCGCCGTAATTTTTCTAGGGTTGCGGGTTTTCGAAAAAAAAGTTGAAAATTTTGTTGACATTTTTTTTAGGTCGACCTATTTGTTTTTCGGAGCTCTCCTCAAATAGTATAAGGGCCGTATCTTTTGAAAAAATTTCTGCGCCGCAGGCAAATTTTTCAAAAAAATAGGCCAAAAAAAGGCGTTTTTAGGCTTTTTTCGGAAAATATTTTACCGAAAAATTGCGCTTTTTTTCGGCGCGCGACCCCCCTCAAAATTAGTCACATTGGCGCAAAAGGCCCCTTAAGAAAAATTTGAGGTTGTTCACCGAAATAGGGATGTCATAAATCTATACCAAAGTGGGACCCTTTGGAAAACTTTGGTAGCCAGAATTGAGGGGGGGGGGGGGGGGTCCGCTCCCCTCCTTCGATACGCTACAGTACAGAACCTTGTTTTCAACGTAATAATGCGTTCGCATACCTAAAAATATATTTTTTCGAGGAACGTGCTCCCCTATGCAACATACTGCTCCATGCCAATTTTGAAATGGCTTAATTCCTAGAACTGCTATTTCTACAAAAGAATTCTACAAAATGACTAAAGCAAGCTTTCAAAAGCAAGCAAGTAAGCAAGACGAAACACTAAATCTGGAAAAATAAGGCTGTTAAAATATATTTAATCGACAAGGGTATGCGAACCATGGACTTCCGATTGCGGTCCATTGGCGTTCTCCACTAACCAATCCGCCTATTCGATTTTAGTTCAACCTATAGAAACACAAGCAGCAATGGAAAGTTTTAGTGAAGCGGAAAAAACAAAGGTGCTTCTAAATCGCAGGCCAAAAATAATCTGAGCATTCTAACATTTACTGAAACACAGAAATCGAGCAGACAAACATGAGACCTATATATTTTTTAAATGAGATCATATTATAACTCAACCTTTTTTTGGGTAACTGAGAAAAGATTCATTCCTACTATGTGAAAGCATCTATGATGCAAAAAAGGAAATTTTTTGTGCATAGAACATACAGATAGGTTAACGGATTCAAGTCGTTTGATGAACTTTTTTCATGAAAACTGATAAATTTTTGCATTCCTTTTGATTTGGATTTTTTTTTCAGGATTTTGTATTCTCCTCAATTATGCACTGAAAACCAATTCCAAGTGTAACTTTTGAAACTTTCATCTCTTAACTTGGTTTTTGCTAGTCATTTGATTCGTTGAACGTCAACCGCAAGAGTTCGAAAATTTCCAGAACATTCTACTTTTCTCTCTTTTATACTCAATCGATTAATGGTCCAACCGAATGTTCGAAAGTTTGTTCGAGCAAAAACCTACGAAGGTTCTCGCGAATATTCGGTCCTATTTGACCTGAGTTTTATTGAATTGTTTACTTTAAGTACCCAAGACTCATTACTTTAGCGAGAAAAATTTTCAGCAGACTATTCTCCAATACCCGGTGTGAACGTGTTTTCAGCACTGCTGGAAACCTTGTCACCGAGAAAAAAACAACACTTACTGGAGCTCTTGTGAACATGCAAATTTTTCTGCATGAAAATTGAAACTCTCAATTAAAGAATTGATCTTCAGTTTTTTCTCAAAAATACTGAAAACCTGAATGAAATAACGAATGTTCTCGGTGAACATTCGAAGGCTGTTTTGAACGGAGGTTGCACCACTACAATCAATACTTATGAAATCTTTTGTTCTGCTATCGTTAAAAATTAATGAGTCATTTAATTTTTTTTTCTAAAAAATAGCAACTTCATAAAACCGAATTTAAACTATGCAAAAAAAACCTGAAACAACAAAATGGAAAAAAAAGCATAATAAACAACTTTAGAGATCTTTAGAGTCACTTGCCTTCACTATTGAGGCATAACAAAAAAGTTGAATTTCTTTAGAATAGATAGAGCTAGATAATATGACAACCACAGCGGTGGACCGGAGCTTCGAACCACTTGCGATACAACAAACATAAAAAACGTAAGTCAAAACTAGGTGAATCAAAATTATTCAAAAGTTGTTTCTCTACTTAAGTGAGAAGAGTGAAAATTTTTGAGAAATTGGTATCTTTCCAAAGACACTACTCGTACCACAAATTGAGACGCCTTTTTGTAACAAACATGTTCGCAACTGATTCTTTCAAATCAACTTTTCATCGCAGACTTGAAAGTGCAGTTTCTACGACAATTTTCCAAAAAAAACGGTCAGAAGTTCAAAAGCTTGACTTCCGGAAATCTATAACTTTTTTCGGCAAAAAAGGTAGTGGCCGCTTAGGCAGAAGAGATTCCCAAAAACTGGTTTCCCGCTTGAACACTTCACATAGAAATTGGCAGGGTAGTTTTCGAGAATTTCGAAAGTATTTCGGAAGTTTCAAAAACACGGTCACAAAATTAAAATTTTGAGTTTTTCGAGACTCATAGCTTTTGTATAATAAAAATTTGGACATAGCCGCATACGCAGAAGAGATTCACACGTATTAATTGGATTGAACTCTAAAACTCAGATTTGGGACAGTAGTTTTCGAGAGAAGTTAGTTTCAAACAGCAAAATTAAAAAACAGAAGTCGACTTTTCCGACGGCCATAACTTTTGTCTAGAAAAATTGGGCGTATTCTATTTCGCAGGGACGATTCCCACAAACCTTTTTTTGATTGAAACCGAATTCTCAGACTTCGGCAGACAGTTTTCGAGAAAACGAAGAAAAAATCCAAAAATTTGGATCAAATACTCCCCCAACAGGTTTTGCAAAAAGTTCAAAAAAATTCGAAAGCGTCAAAAAAAATGAAAAACCCAAGCCCGTGCATCTTCAAAAAAAAGGTTTTTATTGAACAGGAATTTTAGTTAAACATACTAAGCAAGACATTTGAATTTCAAAGTAGCCACGTAACAAATCCTACGAAGCAGAAACAAAGCCGACAATCTTCGAGCAGACACCAGTTGAGTAGGAAAAAAATTGATTTTTTGAAAACCTTTATAAAGTTTTAAGTCCCCCTAAAACTACAATGATCAACATTTGCAACTAACCTGATACTTCATTGCATAACAAAAAAACCGTGATGTTGCACCTAAGCCAACAAATCTTGAGCAGACCAACGAAAGTCCGACAATTCAATTTTTACCGGGTAAAACAAAGACCTGCCGGGGCTCGAACCCCGGACCTTAGGGTACAAAGGCAACCGCGTTATCTCCAGGCTAATCGGGAGTGAGTCTCCAAAATTGCTAAGGTTCTTCAATAAAGCAACTATAAATTTAAAAGACAGTTATCCTCGCAAGTGTAAATATTTAATTTGCAACAACTATCAGCTTTTGAAAAAATGCACTAGGGCAACAGATCAACAGATACATGAATTAAAGATCTTGGATTGTGCAGACATATAGAAAAAGTTGAACGTGTTGAAAAATGAAAACTGAGCTACCTACACCAACCGGCTTCTCTTGTTTCAAATAAGCGGGCATCAAAAAATTGATCACGCTTTTTTTATTAAAGATTTATCCTTTAGGGCAAATTCTTCAACGAGGAGTAAGTTCAAAACGTTATGTAAACCTTGATGACCGATTCTATTTAATATATTTACAAGAGTTGTGATGTCATTTAAAAATCCTACCGAATTCTGTCTTCTAAAAGAACGCCTAGACCTCAACTCGAGTCGCTTCATCTTCACAGCCTGCGGGGAAGTTACTTCGGCTGCAAACTGGAACATTGAGTCCGTCTCAATCAAAACACTCAGCCACAACTTTTGATTTTTTGGTTTCTCGTCCAGAAGAAAGGAAACGAAGAACTCGGATTTGTTCACACAGTTCATGATTACACTTGTTAGACATTGGTAGGCTACACACGCAAGTTGTCCAGAAACGTCTTTGTCTACTTTTGGCACATTTGGTGGAATTAAAACTTGGTTCTTACAGTTGGCACTAGTCTGCAGCAAAAATTTCATGAACGACATTTTCCCATCACGCTTCGAAACTGCGTGAAATTTTTGATTGAGTTCTGATTCCAGTTTTGAAAATTCTGACGGCGCCAAAATTTGAACAGCGGCTTCAAAAATAGAAAGAACAATTTCTAAGTCCAGAACCTTATCTATCAACATGGTCTCGTTGTTTGCCCGATTCAAAGGGTTCAGATTTTCGAAAAACTCAATGACGGCTATTAGTTTTTCAAGTGTTTGCAAGAAAGTTTGCTTGAATACGTTCGTTGAAGCTCCATTAATGAGCGGCTTTAAAACACGCTCGAAAACCCTTCTTCTCACTTGTGGCATTAGAGTGTAACTTCCTAGAGCCATGTTCAGAGTTTCCTCAAATATCTTGGAAATATTGGCCACGTTCCATTTGGATGCGAGAACAGCCGACTCCAGGGACGCGTTGAACTGTTCTAGATAAGGGAACTTTTGTTCGCGACAAACAGGGGCGATAAGTAGTTTCAGAAGTGTGTGATTTGAAGTTATTCTCAGAGCGAAAAACAGCTTCTCGAAACTCACTTTGATGTAATTTTTTGAACCGTTGTTGTTCAAAAAACTGCACTCATCAACGTTACAACTCATAATTTCTTGAACATTTAGTTCATTGTTTGTGAATTCATTCAAACAAGCAAAAGCCTTTTCTTCTATTATCTGGTCTTCGACATTGAGCAGAAACGGAAGCAGATCTAAAGATCGGCACTTTGAAGACAGCTGCACATTTTTCCGTTGCAATGTAGAACAAAAATGCTCTATAACTATGTTTGAATGCTCTTTTTTGTTCAAAACCTTCTCAGAATCGAGTGAAACTAAATTGATTAAAATCGCAGATTTGTCATCCACAAGTTGATTGTCGGCGCTTATTTCGACATCGTGGATTTTACATATCTGATCCAAAACATTCAGAAAAGTAGTGATGCTCTTGTTTCGTTCAGTATTTGATATCTCCCACTTTTGTCTGTTTATAAACCACGTATCCAATGCAGAACCGATAAACTTCATCAATTTTGCTCCATCTTGAATCTGTAACAAAAACGATGCGCACTTTTCTATTTCGCCGACACATTTTTCGCTAAACTTTGCCTGACATCTTGAAAATAAGCTCTGCTTTTTCATATTATTTCCAGAAGCTTTAGTTCTAGTCACCAAGTGAGCAAACACTGAAGGCTCAAAATGGAACTCCCAAGAAAGTTCTAGAATCTTCTGGACCAAATCGCTTCTCAGAATATTTGTTGTTGAATCACTTGACGTCAAAAATGTCAAGAGTGATTTCGAAATTTCTTGTCTCAAATCTTGAGAAAAAATTGTCTGAAAGGATCGCAAGCAAATGACACATGATTCGATGAGACTAATCAGTTCACGCTGAGGCAAACCTGAGTTCTCTTCTTTCAATCTTTGAATGAGAACAAAACTTTCTGCATTCAATTTGGAGTGCACGAAAATGTTTTCTCTAATTTTGCTTTCGAGGAATATTCTTGCAGTGGACAAAGATTGAACGATTTTCGAAGTTTCGCTTAGAAGTTGGGAGAAGGACTGGAAATCATCTCGACCCAAGGAAGACAATCCTAACTGATTTGGGGTGAAGATTGCAGTACAAATAAGGTTGCAGTACTCTTCGCCAAACACGCCTGATAGCAATTTAGCCACATCTTTAGACCGGCACTTCCTGTTCATAGAGCAAAGCAAGTTCATTAGCCCTACTGTTATATTAGCACACACCTTTTCAAATGATTCTTGCTTAGAGTAACTTTGATAGCAAACTTTTTGCTTGGTTTCATCAAAAGCGTCACAGCTCACGAATTTCAAAAAAGCGGAAACTCTTGACCACAATTCAGTATTTTCAGAGTTGAGCAAACTTTGAAAATCAAGCTTCACATTTTCCAAACTCCACAAATAGCAATCTACTAAAGCTAACAGGCTGTTCAAGAAGTCAGTAATTAAATTTGATTCCTCTTTTTTGAAATTTGGCACTCGTGAAAGTGAACTTTCAAATGTTTCAATGCATCCAGAAACATGTGTCAAGTGTTTGAAGAAATTTGCGGATGAAACATGCGAGGAGTTTAACCACAATTGTCCGATGATTTCAACGATGGCTCTGCGGTACTCAATTTCAGGACTACGCATTCTCAGAATCAGGTGCCCTAACGTGTCTTTAAGGGTGGCATCCTTCAAACCAAACGGGATCCTTCGAACGTTCGAGCTCTTCTCAAACAGAGCCGAGTACTTGCAAATGATTCGCGAGATACCACGCAACACTTCGCTTGCTTGCTTAGAAATTCCAGAACTTCTTTCGCAATTATCTGTCCATCTCAAAAGATCCAGGAAGGCGAATAACCATTCCATTGCAAACGCATCAACTAGAATTTTATGCTCTCTTAAGGTTCGCTTGCAAGTCTCAAAAGCCACAATAGCCGACATTTTCAGCTTCAAACTCGGATTCTTGGCGTTAAAAGTAATAATCTTGCAGATGTGCTTCAAACGAGTGGTTTTAAGGAGGTGCTCGTCTTTTGGACAATGTTTGATGCTCCATTCAAACACTTCTTTCAAACATTTTGCAGCAAAATTGCGAACAGCCGAACTATGCTCGGAGCTCAGTTGGTCGAAAATGGAGGAAATAAGACATGCAGTTTCAGGCGACTCTTGAGACGCAGCAGACGTGAACCAGTGAATGGACTGGAAGCAAAGGGGCTCGAACAACTGATTGGCTATTGAGTCATTGTCGGCAGCCAATCGGATCAAAGCTGGAAACATCACTTCATAAATCGACACAAACGAGATCAAATTTTTAGCCGAACGCATCTGGGCGTTTTTGCCGACTGTTAAAATTGCCAAAGCATGCAATAATTCACAGGCAGCTACTTTTGACTTTCGGTTTGGAGAGTTTTCTGCTATTTTAATGATTGGAAGTAACATGTTGTCGAATTTAATTTTGGGTTTCGTATCTCGAAACGGAACGGCGTATGTCATTTTTGCATCATCAAGACCATTGATGGATATCAAATTGTTCCCACATTCACTTTCATCACGCACAAAAATTTGTTCAATAGGCATTGGCAAGAAGGAGAGGAAAATGATGACCCTCTCCTGGAAGTTCCTCATTTCTTCGGGGTCAACTTCGGACAGATCCGTGTTGACTAGATGCTTTATTTTAGAGCGAGACTGTTTCTTCCTCAAGGAAACCAGGTGACTTTTGTCTTCTAGCGAGTCCGAAGTCTCGACACAGAGGTATGGATAGAGTTTGGGGGCAATTGACTTCGAAATCTCCAGCAATTTTTGCTTCTTAGAAGAACTTTCGTAATATTCAGAAACTAAGCTTTGCAGGAACTCCAGAGAAGTTTTAGCTAATGGCATATATTGTAGCGAAAAAGCAGTTTCAACGATTTTGCGGACATGATTCATTTCTTTGTCACAGTTCAAAACCAATTCTACGGGACATTTCAGCACAAATGTCGAAGCGGCGATGAGCATTTCGTTGGAAAAACTATCAATTTCGTTTTGTAAATAGCCCAAGAAAGGAAGCAAACTGCGGGAAAGTCTTCCGTGTACATCCTTCAAAGTGTCTCTTTCAGCCTCTTTTTGGGAAGAGTATATTAAAGCCAAGAAGTTGGTTAAAAGTTTGAACCAGCCACTTAAATGTGGAAATTCCCTGGCATAGTCAAGTAACTTTTCAACACACGAAACCACAAGGGAAACTTCCGAAACAATCAAACCAGAAGCAAAATTTTTCTGAGAGGAAATAGTACTCCAAATGTCTGCCAAATTTACAAATATTTCTACATCAGAAGGTTTTTCAACCGTCAAATTCATGTTAGTTTCAATTTGCTTTGATTGATTTGTTGATTGAGACTTTTTGGCTTTCAAGTTCAGAATTTCTACCAATTTCAAAACTGTCTCCATGAACTCGATCCGAACTTTTCTCCAACATTGTTCAAGATGATCATCGTCGAAGTTTTCATCCTTTAGAGCGAAGTAATTTTTCAGAGTGAGTAAATATTCAATGAAAGGAATGTAATTTTTATAGGACAGCACTTTTTCTCCAGAACTCGAATCGGGGGTTCCAATTTGAATCAAAGCATTGACAGACGAATGTTGACAAGCCCTAATTAAACATTGCATCCAAAAATGAGACAAAAAACAACTTTCGCTGTCTAATTTTCGAAGGTTAAATGCGCCGATCACCGACAAAATAGCCTTGGATGAAAATGATTGCTGTGGCGGCAATTGATAAGGAAAACGAGATATCAAAAAAGTACAGAAAGATAGAATCGCATTAGAATTACTTTCGGCCAGCAAAAACAGTTCTGCTATTTCATTGGACAAAATAATTTCGGCCAATGATTTGACGATATTGGGATAATAGTGCATCCTTTGCCAATTGGCAGACTGCTCAGAATCAACAGAAAACTCACTACTCGACTGGTACAGAAAAGCCAATCTTATTTGTTTGCATTTCTCAACAAGATGAGAAAAAAGCTCACACACTTTTGCAGAACCTAAAAACGTATCACAGAACGGCGAAAGTCTCCCAAGGCCCTCAATGGCTAAGGCTAGCTGCTTCGGTTTTGCATCTGCTTTTGTAAATGTTGCGAACAGTTTTTCGTACATGAATACAAATAGGGCTTTGCCCTTGCCCGAACTCTTGTTTTCGTCTCGACGCATCAACATTGGCATTGAGGCAACTAAAGCCTCTTGGAAGGAAATCATGGCCTCGTGGGCGGAATGACTCAGCGCCGGGTTGTTTTGCTGGACATAGAAGTCAATCTTGGTGTAAATGTCGGGATATGAATCCAAGAGAAAAGAAGAAAACTTATCCAAATGCAACTTCAGAAACCTCAGAGCGACAGTTTGAAGACTGTATCTGCTCATTTCGGCGAAAGAATTCGTTTGAAGCACAACTGAAATTAAGCTGATTACTTTCTGTTCAAAAGCGGGCGACGGAGCAAACTGCATGTAAAAGCCATTCAAAGCGGCAATATAACCCGTCGTTAAGGTGAGCTCAAATTTGCGCCTGCTTTCAACTTGGTTCTTAATTCCATTCACCATAATTTCTTCAAACTTGTTCCGTTGACTTTCGACTACTTTCGGTTGGTTTGAGGCAAGGGTTCCCAACAGTTCCAGTAATGCCTCTTGAACCATCAGGCTTTTCTCTTTTCCACTTCGCATTCTGGTGAAAACATCAGCAAACAGCTGGTCACATTTGGCTATTTCTACACTCCCACACTCGCTGCACTTTGTCAAGATAGACTCCAGGCATTTACACGCCGATTGCAAAACTTTGGCCGATGTATTCGCTTGTTTGACAAACACGAATAGGTTGTCAAATGCGGCTTTTGAGTATTTCATAACCAGTAGCGGTTCAACTTTTTCGGTCCACATTTTCAGCAAAGATAATAGCGTTAGTCTAATTTGGTCATCGGCCCGACTGGAACTTTGGTTCAACCAGCCGAAAAACATTTCGTTGCTCTTGAAGAAGACAGCCTCATTGGCTGCCTCGATTTCGTCCTTGTCTGACACTCCGAACTGCAACAACTCTTTCAGTTCGCCCAAAATATCGACAATAGACTCGTCGTACTCAGATTTGAAGCACGAGTTTATGAAGTCAAGCTTGTCGTGCAAGTCAAAACTCATTGTTGGATCTGAAAAAAAAAACAAATGAAATTAAACCACATCAACAGGTGTTTTTATGCAGCAAAGGAGCGGCGGCGAAGATAATTATACAAGGATTCATTTGAAAGGGGCTAATTCTATGACCTTCGATAAAACATCGATTATCAGGAACAAATAGCCACATTTATCAATGAGGATGCATTTTTCCAATTGCTGTAGCAAATCGGCGGCAAGTATGGACAACTCAAGCCAAGGATGATAAATGCTGCAGGAAACATCTGCTATGCTAACTCACTTACTTGGAATGACGATGAAAAGGCATAAGGATGACAGCGTTAGAGTTCAAAATAGCATGAAAAACATGGTATCAACAGTGGATAATCCGTTCAGGAACTCAGCAGTTAAGTCTAGCAGTTAAGCCAATTTCATTTGTTTTTCTTACGCAAAAGCTTAATAAAAGAGAAACAAACTGTGACTCATATGATAAGCAGGTAGTTGGGAACACGAGAGATTCATTCGACCTTGAACGGAAAAGACCAGGGAATGTTCGCAAGCATAAAAACACCTCTTCTGGACAAAACATTTTTTCGTTGCGAATATCACTAGTTCCCACTATAAACTTCCATCTTTACTGGCCAAGACGAATTAGCTTGGTGGCTGAAGCCATGCAAAAATTCACTCTCAACTTTTCTCTGCTTTAGTTTTATTTGAAAGCCCTTTAAGAATTATGTAAGTAATCCAATCGGTCAGCTTAAGAATAAAATCGAATCCGTTCGAATTCGAAAAAGTTCAACTAAGAAATGAGCTGATGGATACAAAGAGAAAGCAGGAAAAGATTGGGACGGAAATTGAAGCCGCAGAGAAAAAAATCTATTATGGTTTTGACGCATAATCAATTATAAAAAATTTGAAATACTTGCGATAAAGTCGGACACATAATCAAAAAAATAACAGACAAAAAATTGCCAAACACAATCCGAAAAAAGTTAATCTATCATAATGAAAAAACACCCCAAAAACAAGTGTCACAAGCATCGGAAGAGAACATACCATGCAGTGAAAGCAAAAAAAAAACAATTGAGCAAAAGCCCTAACAGACAAAAAATGAAAACTAAAAAGTCAATACTAACTTTTTATCCAATCCCCCTAATAACACACACACACAATAAAACATTTTCGGTCAACAAACCACACAATAAGGGACATATAGGACAAAATAGATAACCTTTCTTGAGGACTCGCCGCTTCTGCAGGAAAAATTTATGCAAAAAACAGGTTGCCGCTAAAGCAGAGAAGATTCCCAAAATCGGGTTTCTCGATTAAAAATTTAACCTGCGAATCGACGGTAATGTCAAAATTTTCCAAAAAACGGTCACAGTTTCAAAACTTTGACTTGTTAGAAGGGCATTACTTTTTCTAAAACCAATTGGACGTAACCAATTAAAAATGAAGGCTTTTGTTTTGACTTAACTTATCATATCAGATTTGACAGAATAGTTAAAGAGAAAAGTCCAAGAAACGGTCAACAAATCAAAAAATTTAAAATTTCGAGAGTCATAAGCTTTTTGTGAAAAGAATGCAGAAAAGATTCGCGCAACCTTTAATTTCGATTGAACCCAAAATCTCAGATTAAGAAGGGTAGTTCTCGAAAAAAAAATTTTGGACATTTTCGAAGGCCATAACTTTTTGCGTCAAAAATTTGGGCGCAGTCGTAGATGCAATGAAGTTTTCCACAACAGTTCTTTGAAATCAGCCCGAGACAAAATCAGCCAGAGGTAGTTTTCGCGAAAAAGTAAATAGTTTAAAAAAAAGGTCAAAAAATCAAAAAATTGAATCTTCCGAGGGCGATAAATTTTTGTGCAAGAAAATTGTGAGTGACCGCTAAGCCAGAAGAAATTTACACAACCTAACCGCTAGCTCCATTGAGCAGCTATCTCAAACTTACATGGCTAGTTTTCGAGAAAAGTCCCAAAGGTTCAAAAAACTCAAAAATCGAAAGATTGACTATTCTGAGCCCCATAACTTCATGTGCGAAAAAATTTAGGCGTAACCACTTATGAAGGGAAACTTTTCAAATACGCTATAATCATTGAAACCAAAATCTCAGATTTGAGAGTACTTTTTGAAAGAACGAAATAAAAGTCACAAGTTGGGTCAAATATTGCTCTACAGATTTTTTGGAGGCTATAGACAGAGGTGTAAAAAGACTAAAAAATTATACAGGCACAGAGGAATAGGCGGTAATTCAATTGATACATCTTATTTGAAATTGCTTTAAAAATTTTCCAAAGTCTCAAAAAAATAAAAACAAAAAGCGAATCCCATTCAGCTTCTTAAACATGCTTTTGTAACACAAGAAATTTAGGCATTGATGCCAAGCAAGACATTTGAAATTTAAACACAGAGACAAAGATGAGCTTCGCACCATTTGCGATACGAAAATGAATGACTAAGATTAAAAACAAACGGAAAAAAAATTGAAAAATAAACTTCAAAAAACTTGTGGTTGTCAATAAAAATCTGGAACAAAAGCCAAAAACCCGGAAAAACATTGCCTACATCATGAGAAACTTAACAAGACCTTTTTGAATGCTATAAAAAACCAAATTAAAAAAAATAATTTCTGCGGAACTAAGCCGACAAAAATAAGCAGACCGACAATAATCTAATTAGCCGAAAAATTTTTTTTTGCAAAAAAAAAACAAGTCTCAACTGGAATCGAACTGCCGGGCTTCATCGTCTTAAAAATAGGGGGTTGGGAAACTGGGAAGAAAGCCGAACCTTTAAAAACGTCGGGCTGCGGGAACTAAGCCGACAAAATTAAACAGACGGACGATAGCCCGAAAAAGCACAAAAACTCAAGTTTGCAAAAAACAGGCCAGATTCGAACCGCAACCGTTTGCGGTCTCAAGCAGTTGGGTTACCTATACTTCAGATGCACCAGATGGTTGATTGAATTTGAGCTTATGATAACCCAGCGGTAACGAAGCCGAAACCTTTCACAACAAAAAAATTGAACAAAAATTCTAAGCTAATAATAAAATTTTCGTACCTCTTCCCCTCAGAACACACGCACTAACACAATTTTTTTCTGGATCCCAAGCTACAAAATAGGAGCCTACTAGATCGATATAAAATAAACTGAAACTTAATGAGCCGATAAAAAAAATTTAAAAAATGATATTTTCACATATCGAGCTAGTAAAATTACAACGAACGTACAAAAAAATTCGATTCGGCCGGACTTTTAAAACGCAAAAACACATAAAGCAACTGCAGTGAAATTTGTTTGAAGCAAAAAAAACGATTCTTATATGTGGTAACTAAGCCAAAGAAATATAAGCATACAAATATTAGGCCGAAATTTTAACCGAAATTTTTACCATTTGAAAAAAAAAAACAAGACCTAGTCAAATTCGAGTCCTTAGAAGTTATTCTTACGGGGAAAAGTATAGTACCCGATAGCAATACCCTTGCTTATCGCAAAAGTAAAAAAATCCGAAGTCAACCGCTAAAAAAAATATTTGAGCCTCAACAAATTTTCAGACAACTTCCGTTCATCGACTCTAAAAAAATTGGCATGATCTCGGACTTGAACGTTTGATCTTTCGCGACATAACCCCGCTCTTTACCACCACACTATTGGACCCACAATTTCAAGAAAAATAACTTCATTAAAAAAGCGAGCTATCAAATGATTATGTTAAACTAGTTGCTAAACCAAAAAAAAGTATATATATTTTAGTTTGATAACGCTTGCAATTGTAATTAGCAACGGAAAAAAACACTTACGGTGAGGAAAGGAAGCCGACAATCTTACAGCCGACACCAGTTGAGCCGAAAAACTGATTAAGAAAAAACTTTAAAAAGTTTCATGTACCCCTAAAACTACAAAAAACAAAATTTGCAACTACCATGATACTTGTCTGCAGCACAAGAAAATCCGTCATATGGCCACTAATCCGACAAAACTTGAGTATATGAACGAAAGTCCGAAACATCGAGTTTTACTAATTTTTTTTTTCAATTGTTACTTTCTGAAAAAAGTAAGGTCCGACCGGGATTCGAAACCCGGACCTTAGAATGCAAGGTCCACGGCGTTACCTCTAGGCCAAGAGCGACGATCACTCTCTGAAGTTAAGATTCAGAAATACAGCAAGATGAAAATTTGTAAGAAAAGTTGTTCACGTGAAAAGTCTAGTTCCCGATTACAAGACACTTGCTTTTGCAAATATAATAAAGCAAACGGTACGTATAATGAAAATTGATTATACACAAAATATTAGCGAAAAAAGTGAGATTTTTTCGGCAGAGCGCAAGTATATTTATGAAAAATGCCACATTAATATAGTATTTTAACTTTCAAAAGCGCTATAGTTCACAAAAAATTTGGCCGGCGCTTACTATCACTTTGGCTTCGGATACGCTCTGCTTATGTTAGACTTAAGGGGCTTCGAGCGCTACACCAAAACTACACCGGCATAGCGCACCTTATAACTATTCGTATTATTATGAAAAATAATACAGGCGGAGCGAAGCTGAGCAATCCTCGCTATAAAAAAACATGAGCTTGAATTCAAGCGTTACAACTGCCTGTGATATCAAAAACACAAAACTTCATACTACATCAAAAATACTTCAAAATACCAGAGTACAAGAACAATCCAGCCAGATTCTTACACTTATGATTCAAAAAAACTCACATGACAAATAAAACCGGGCGAATAAAATTTGCGTGAAAGAGAAAATATATGACTTATCTCTCCAACTTGAAGGTATGACCTTTTAGCTCTTCATTTATCAAAAGACATGAAAAACAAAAAAACTTGAAAAAACTAAACGGCACAATTTGATAAAAACGAAAAGAAATACAAAAAGCAAGAAGAAATTCGTAATTATTATTTAAGTTAGTAATTGTTGTTCCAACTACTACACGAAATGCGGAGAAAAAACCATCAAGTAGTGCGCTCTATTTTCCTGACTTTGATTATCTCATGGATTGAAGCGTGGCAATGAATTACCATC